TGCCAACGGTGTGACCTTGGCAGATATTAAAGAAGTACAGAGGCAAATTCAAACTCACATTCAGGAAAATACAGCTATACTAGAGGAAATTAGGAAAGCCCAACTCAATATTAACAATAATTCCGATTCCAATGCTGCCATAATATCCCATATCGAAGACGTTAAAGTCAAGATTCACCAAGTCAGTTCCACCATAGAAGAAGTTAAGGAAAAGACGGGCCCCTCCATTACCTATGCGCAGGCGGCTGCAGCGGCGGCACTGCCAAGGGAGATGCATCCCACTCCTCAAGTGAAACTTAAAACCAAACCAGCCCTTATTGTCTCCTCTAAGAAAAGCGTTCTTAGCTCAGCAGAGACCTACAAAAATTTTAAGGCCTCGGTCTCCTTCCGAGACACGACTTTTGCTCCGGCTAACGTCAAATACATTTCAAAAAACAAAATCCGAGTAGAATTTGATAGTGAGGGGCACCGAGACGAGACCCTAGAGAAACTTAAACGCCCAGAGTGCTCTGTAGCGGCTGAGGCATCCAAGATGCTCAGTCCTATGGTAGTGCTCAAAGGGGTACCCCAAGACATTCTAGCTGACGAACTCGTTGGTATCCTTAGGAACCAAAACCCGGAAATCAAGAGTGCCATTGTGTCGGACGGTGACCTTATTTTCCGCTTTAAGAGGGCAAACCGCAACAAGCGATTATACAATGCGGTCTTTATGACCTCACCCCCCGTCTGGAAGGCTATCACTTCGCGGGTCAAACTAAACCTTGACCACCATCGAGTACACGCGGAGGACTATGTGCCTTTACTCCAATGCTACAAGTGCCTCCAATTCGGGCACACCAAAGCTAGGTGTGACCGTCAAGTGACAGTATGCTCTCACTGCTCTCTCCCTGGACATGAGTTTCCGCAGTTGTCCGGAAAAGGACAATACTGACAAGACACAATGTCACAATTGCGTCGAACACTCCAAAAATAATAACACCAAATGCAAGACTGATCACAGTGCCACTTCCCAAGAATGTCCTCGAATCTCCTTCATGCTTCAAACAATTCGTTCCCGTACTAACTATGGTTATTAGGTCTAATAATTCTCACTCTCATCCATCCTCTTTCAAACTTATATGCACACAGATCAATCTTGCACGCAGCCGCAACGCAACTCACGAACTTTCCGTTCATCTCAACAACTCCGAGTGCCACGTGGCATTCGTTATGGAACCCTATACTTCTAACACCGAACGTCTAAAACCCATACCCGGCTTCACGACGTATCAGTTTCACACTGGTCACGCTGTCAAGGCCGCTATCCTTGTTCGCGAAAATTTCGCATCAACACTTGGGGTCTCTGAACATTCGAATTCTAACATCTGCATAGTCCGCATAAGAGACCGCACTGGCAACAACGTCTATCTCACATCCGTTTACGTTGAGCCCCGCAATGATGAACATAACACCATCGACAAACTTGAGCAATTTCTAATGCTAACTCCCGACTCCAAGCACGTTATTTGCGGGGATTTCAACGGCTGGCATGCGTTCTGGGGCTCCCGATCTGACAACAGCAGAGGCCAGGACATTGCCAATTTGGTGGTCGCCCGAGACCTCACAGTCTGCAACGTCGGTGACACTCCCACCTTTCACACTGTGACACATGGTGTCCCACGGGACTCCATTGTTGATCTTACTCTCGTGAGCAACTCCGTCATTAACGTTGTGGATTGGACGGTAGATGAGAGCATCTGTCCATCGTCTGACCATAACGCCGTTCGCTTCCGTGTATCTCTTGGCATTGAAAAACCGGTTAAAAGTCTTAAACTCTCCACCTACAAATACAACACTGGCACAGTAAAATGGGAGTCACTTCGGGAGCGTTTTGAAGCAGAGATGAGTCTGCATTTACCTTCGCGTCCCAACTTTGACGACATGAACACCATCAATTTAAATGAATACATTAACGACTTCATCTCCTCCGTCCAACTCACCTGCGACAAACTGCTTCCGAAGTCCCGCGGTCCCCCACAGCGTGCTCCATGGTGGAACGACAACCTTGAGCAACTCAAAAAATCTGTCATCAGAAGCCATCACAAACTGTCTAAAGCCGTCCGTCGTAAACAACCACTCGAACAACTGATCGAAGAACGTAATCGGCTCAGACGTGAATACTCTGACGCCTTTTGTGCCGCGTCTACTGAAGACTTCAGAGGCTTCTGCGGCAGACAAAAGAAGGAGGACGTCTGGTCGGTTACGAATCGCATAATTAAAACACGGCCACTCGCACAAGCTCCATCCACACTGCGCTTGGACGACGGCACTTATACTAAGGACTCCAACAACACCGCACGTGCTCTCCTCGATAGGTTCTACCCCGACGACACCATTGATACGGATACACAAATCGCTCTTCGCAATGATATGTATAAGCCCATTAACTCGCCTTCAGAACCTCCGTTTACTCTGGACGAGATACTGGATAGCCTTCAGAGTATGAATTCAAAGAGAGCACCTGGCGTTGATCACCTTACGCCTGACATCTGCTATTGGGTGGGCAGGTGGTTTCCGCAGGAGATCTCCGGAATTCTCAATTGTTGCCTCCGACTCGAACATTTTCCAAATTGTTGGAAAGTTGCAACCGCAAAAATAATACCGAAACCTGGAAAACCTGAATACAGCTCTCTCTCTAGTTTTCGACCGATCGGCCTCCTCAATGTGTTTGCTAAGCTCCTCGAACGTTTAATTAATAATAGGCTCACATATCACATGCAGAAAAATAACACCTCCTCCTCAAACCAGTATGGCTTCAAAACTCAAATCTCTACAGTAATGGCTATAAACAACGCACTTGAACTTGTTAACTCTGCTAAGTCCGCAGGTGAACAGGTGATTGCTGTCTCTCTAGACATCAAATCCGCCTTCGACCGCGCCTGGTGGCCAGCGATCTTCAAAAGGCTAAGAGACAGTAATTGCCCCAGTAACCTGTATCGGCTCCTTCTGAGCTATATCGAAGACCGCGAAATTCAAATCAACTTCGCTGACACTAGGGTCAGAAAATTCATGACTAGAGGTTGCATCCAAGGGTCTGTAATCGGGCCCACTTTGTGGAATCTTGTCCTGGATGAACTCTTATTTATGCCAATGCCGGATGGATGTAGGCTACAAGCTTATGCCGATGATGTGCTACTTATAGCACATAATAAATGTGTCAACTCACTCGAGCAAAATGTCAACTTGGCCCTGGAACGAATTCACGGCTGGGGCGAGAGAGTTAAGCTAGAATTCGGTCCCGACAAAACTCAAGCTATTGCCTTTACAACCCGCGCCACAAGCTGCCAAATTCATATGAAGCAACAACAGCTTCTATTCGTTGACCATATTAAATATCTGGGAATACTCATCGACAATCGACTTTCATTCACTAAGCATGTAGACTATATTATCGACAAAGTACAAAAGCTATATCACAGGCTTTGCTTATTTATCCGACCTACTTGGGGCATACATCCTGAAAATGTGCGCATAATATACTCTATGGTGATAGAGCCTATCGTGTGTTATGGAGCGGCTATATGGTCGCGCGCTCTCAAATATCAATATATTGTCCAGCGATTACTCTCTTTACAACGGCTTTTTGCCATCAAAATGATACAAGGCTTCAGGACCATAAGTACTGTTGCCTCAATTTCTCTTGCCCAACTTACACCCCTTCCATCCAAAGTAGAATCCATATCCGATACAGAAAGGTCTAAACTCCTGGGCGTCACCTCGCACTTGCCTGATGACGTCCCAGTCGAGAAGCTCTGCCCTCCTACAACTCTTTTACACCCTTCTGAGAGAATCGGAATCAAATTTCTGGAAATATCATCTGCATCCGAACTTTCAGATATGGTAGGGCATTGTGATTCCTGGAAAATTTACACAGATGGTAGTAAGCATGCCGATAAAGTAGGAGCAGCCTTCGTAGTATTCGATCCATCTGGGAGGCGGACTGCGGTAAGAAAGCTCAAGCTTCATGATTGTTGTTCAGTCTTCCAGGCGGAGTTACTTGCTATTGAGGAGGCCTGCAAATTCATTTTAGTTAAAAAACTTTCAAAAACCATAGTTCTTTCTGATAGTATGTCTGGGCTTACAGAATTATCCAATCGCAATAGTCACAACTCTTTTGCTGTCAGCATCCATAAGAGCATACACTCAGTCCGATCATCTGGACTTTCCGTTGAGTTCGCCTGGGTTAAAGCTCATGTAGGACTCGATGGAAATGAACAGGCGGATGCTGCAGCTAAAGCGGCAGCCAATCTCCACCGCTCTCCTGATTACTACGCTGTGCCTATCAGCCATATTAAACACCTCAATAAACTCAAATGCTCTTCCGCATCTCAAGAATTGTACGAAAATCCCTCCCATTGTCTATACACCAAATCCCTTCTTCCTTCTTACTCTTCCCTTCTAGAATTTCTTCATTCCATAAAACCTGTCTTTGCAGTTACTCAATTTCTATCCAATCATGGCTTTCACAAGGAATACCTCCACAGGTTCAATATAGTCGGCGAGGACTCCTGTCCTTGCGATGGATCCACGCTACAAAGCTGGAGGCATCTCTTTGCAGAATGCCCTCGCTTTTCATCTCTACGCTCAAAACATGCACTCACATGCAACTATTTTGATATAGATCATTTTGATCTCTCCCAAATCATCACCAACGAGTCCACAATTGGAACGTTTGTTGAGCTCTTGACTGGCATTGTCAATTGTTTAAAAGAGTTCAATGGAACAAACGTCATAACACAGCCGCAAACCTAAACATGTTGTGCCTCGTGGTGTAACCCATTAGCACCGCGAGTCACACAAACAACTAATAACTCTCTAAAAAAAAAAAAACCTAACCTAACCTAACCTAACCTAACTTTACGAAACCTAACTTCCTGAAACCTAACTTTCCGAAACCTAACGTACAGTTTCGGAAAGTTAGGTTTCAGGAAGTTAGGTTTCGGGAAGTTGGGTTTCCGTTAGTTAGGTTTCCGAAACCTAACTTCCCGAAACCTAACTTTCCGAAACCTAACGTACAGTTTCGGAAAGTTAGGTTTCAGGAAGTTAGGTTTCGGGAAGTTAGGTTTCAGGAAGTTAGGTTTCAGGAAGTTAGGTTTCGGGAAGTTAGGTTTCGGAAAGTTAGGTTTCGGGAAGTTAGGTTTCGGGAAGTTAGGTTTCAGGAAGTTAGGTTTCGGAAAGTTAGGTTTCGGAAAGTTAGGTTTCGGGAAGTTAGGTTTCAGGAAGTTAGGTTTCGGAAAGTTAGGTTTCGGGAAGTTAGGTTTCAGGAAGTTAGGTTTCGGAAAGTTAGGTTTCGGGAAGTTAGGTTTCGGAAAGTTAGGTTTCGGGAAGTTAGGTTTCAGGAAGTTAGGTTTCGGAAAGTTAGGTTTCGGGAAGTCAGGTTTCAGGAAGTTAGGTTTCGGGAAGTTAGGTTTCCGTAAGTTATGTTTCGGAAACCTAACTAACGGAAACCCAACTTCCCGAAACCTAACTTCCTGAAACCTAACTTTCCGAAACTGTACGTTAGGTTTCAGAAACCTAACTTCCCGAAACCATTGCATATATAAATTTTTTTTTTTTTTTAGAAATCTCTTTCAATTTGCTTATAATTGCATTGTTGTTACTAAATTAAGTAGTTTAATTGAGTTTGACACACACACATGACACACACACATGACACACACACACACACAGATGACACAAACACACACACATGACACACATACATGACACACATGACACACACACATGACACACACACACACACACACACACACATGACACACACACATGACACACACACATGACACACACACACACACACACACACACACACACATGACACACACACATGACACACACAAACACACACACACATGACACACATACATGACACACACACACACACACACACACACACATGACACACACATGACACACACACATGACATACACATATGACACACACACATGACACACACACACACACATGACACACACACACACACACATGACACACACACACATGACACACACACACATGACACACACACACATGACACACACACATGACACACACAAACACACACACATGACACACATGACAGACACACACATGACAGACACACACACGACAGACACTCACACACACACACACACACACGACAGACACAAACACACATGACACACACACATGACACACACACATGACACACACACACATGACACACGTACATGAAACACACACACACATGACACATACACACACATGACACACACAAACACACACACATGACACACATACATGACACACACACATGACACACACATATGACACACACACATGACACACACACACACACACACATGACACACACACACACACACACACATGACACACACATGACACACACACACATGACACACACACATGACACACACATGACACACACACACATGACACACACACACACATGACACACACACACACACACATGACACACACACACACACACACACACACACACACACACACACACACACACACACACACACACACATGACACACACACACACACACACACACACACACACACATGACACACACACAAGACACACATAACACACACATGGCACACACACGACAGACACTCAAACACACACACATGACACACATGACAGACACACACACGACAGACACACACACTACAGACACTCACACACACACACACACACACGCCACGCACACACGACAGACACTCACACACACACACACACACACTCACACACACACACACACACACACGACAGACACAAACACACATGACACACTCACTCACATGACACACACACATGCACACACACACATGACACACACACACATGACACACACACTCACATGACACACACACATGAGACACACACACACATGACACACACACATGACACACACACACATGACACACACACATGACACACACACATGACACACACACATGACACACACACACACACATGACACACACACACACATGACACACACACACACACATGACACACACACACACACACACACACACACACATGACACACACACACTCATGACACACACACACACACATGACACACACACACACACACACACACACATGACACACACACACACACACACACACACACATGACACACACACACACACACACATGACACACACACATGACACGCACACACACACACACACACATGACACACACACAAGACACACATAACACACACATGGCACACACACGACAGACACTCAAACACACACACATGACAGACACACACATGACAGACACACACACACACACACGACACACACACACACACACGCATGACACACACACACACACACATGACACACACACACATGACACACACACACATGACACACACTCACATGACACACACACACACACACATGACACAAACACACACACACATGACACACACACACTGTTAGAATATGTAAACGTTGTTAATCTATGTATCCAAATTATTAGTCTAATCTATCTATATCTGTAAATCTAGGAATATTGTTGTACTCTGTAGTTTATGATGTAAAAAAAAAAGAAGATGTCGGATTATTAGAAATACATACAGGTGTTGGTTTGAATAATGTCTTTTAATTAAAGTGAGTTGCGTAGGGGCCTAACAGCCTAAATATATCAAATTTTATATAAATTCTCACATCTACGGACCTCTGTTATCTGATCATGTGTGTAATAAAATAATAAATACAAACTGATGTTCTGTTTTCGTGCCGTTTGAAGAAATGAAAATTGTTAAAATGGACGCCATGACCTAGCACTTTCGGCCCCGAGAAATATTTTACATATGATACTCTTTACTGAGAAACAAAAAGGATTATATGTTTGAAAGTTTGAATTCATTCTATATATATATTAAAAATGTCAAGTTTAGAAGTTTTTCCACAACTTTGTGAAGGGAGTAAGTTTAGTAATTGGAAGTTCAGGTTAAACATTTTATTTGAAGAAAAAGGTATTGAGTATTTATTAAATGGAAAGAAAGACGAAAATTTGAAAAAAGAGACGTATAAAAAAGACGATGCTAAGGGAAGATTGATAATTATAAATTGCTTAAACGATAAATTCTTGGAAGTAGTAAAGCCAGCGACCAGCGCATTAGAAATGTTGAAACTATTAAGTGCAGTGTTTGAAAGGAGAAGCACATTTAACAAAGTGTTACTTAGAAAGAAACTTATAACTTTAAAACATCAATTCTCGAATAAACTTCAGGATCATTTAATTAACTTTGAAAATATAATTAACGAATTAGAAGGTGGAGATGCAAAGATAGAGGAGTTAGATAAGGTGGAGCACCTGTTTATAACACTATCAAAGGAGTATGATACCATAATAAATACGTTGGAATCCCTCGACAAGGAATTAAATTTTGAGTTTGTAAAATGTAGATTACTCGATTTAGAAAATAAATTAAAAGAAAATAGTATTGAGGAGAAAACTGAAAATATGTTTATTACAAACACAGCCATTATTTGCTTTAAATGTAAACATAGAGGACACAAATCATTTCAGTGCAATTTAAATAATAATATGACTAATAACAATGATATGAAGAATTTTATCACTCACAATAATAGAGAAAGTAATAGAGGAAGTGTACTAAACAATAATTTTTTTAACAGTGGATTTAATAACAACTATAATAGAGGAAGAGGTTATAATAATAATTATATGAATAGTGGTCACAGATATAATAATAACTACACGCGTCAAGTAAGAGGTTACAATAATAATTATATGAATAGAGGAAGAGGACGGCACCATAATTTTTCTAGACAAGCGAACACCACAGAAGAATTTAATTTACATGAGGAAAATAAAAGCACATTTGTGGCATTAACTTTGGAAAATGAATTTAAAGAAAGCAATGACATCTTATTTATAATAGACTCTGGGGCAACGCATCATTTTATCCAAGAAAAATATGAGAAGTACATGTATGACATTCAATTACTAGATGAGCCGATGAAGATTAAAATAGCCAATGGTCAATTTTTAATTGCTAACAAAAAAGGGAAATTAGAAGGAATTTACAAGAATAAAATTATAGTTATCAATGGAATAATAGTACCAGAAATTTCACATAATTTGATATCAGTTTCTAAATTAATGGAGAAGGGTATGACAATAATAATTAAACAAGAACAAATGAAAATATATACTAATGATGCACATAGTAATACACACCATATTTATAAAGAAGGAAAACTATTTACTATGAGGATGCTAATCAAACAAAATGCACAGTGCAATCAAGCTATAGACAAAAATGATATTTGGCATAAAAGACTTGGACATTTAAATAGAAAAAGCTTACAATTAATGGACTTACCTTTTAGTGATAAAATATGTAATGAATGCATGATAAACAAAAGTACGAGAAAACCATTTTATCCTGTAACAAAACCTCAATCACATGCTATAGGTGATCTAATCCACTCTGATATAGCAGGTCCAATGAAAACTACTACCAATGAAGGAGAAAGATACTATCAAACTATCATAGACGACTACTCACATTTTACATTTACATATTTGTTGAAAAATAAATCAGAAGCAGCGCAAAATTTAATTGATTACATAAAAATAATAAAAACTGAAAAAGGAATAAGAGTAAAGAAAATAAGATGTGATAATGGAGGAGAGTACTGTTCAGACTATTTAAAAGATTTTTGTCAAAATAAAGGAATACAAATTGAATATAGTTTACCATATAGCCCGCAAATGAATGGAAAATCTGAAAGGATGAATCGCACAATATTAGATAAAGCAAGAACAATGATGAGTGAGTCTAACTTACCCAAACACTTATGGGGACAAGCAGTTTTGACAGCTACATTCTTAATTAACCGTTCACCATCAAAAGCAATATTTAATGATATACCTGCAATACGATTTGAACGAGATATGAAGTTAGATGATATAAAAATATTTGGCTGCAAAGCTTGGGCAGTAATTTTACCTAGAGCAAATAAATTTGAAAACAGAGCTGTAGCAACAAGAATGATTGGATATGCGAAAAATGGATGGAAATTTTGGATTCCAGATACTGACAAAATCATAGTGTCAAGAGATGTCACCTTTGATGAAACGGATATTAAATATAATAACGAAGTGAATACAAAAGAAGAGGAAAATAGAATAAGATATAAAATAATGAGAAATGAAGAAGATCCGGATGTACAATATGATAATTCACAAAAAACAATACAAGAGCAAAATGAAACAGATACAGTAGAGCCAGTGGCAACTACTAGAAGTGGGAGACAAATTAAAGTTCCAGACTATCTTAATGACTACCATCTTAATTTTCAGGCATATTGTTTTTACAGCGAAGATGATCCAGTTACATATGATGAAGCTATAGAAAAGGGTTGGTCATCATCAATTAATATGGAATTAGATGCATTAAAAATAATGAATACATGGAAAGAAACTAAATTGCCAAATGGTAAACAACCAATTGAAGCAAAATGGATATTCAAAACAAAAGAAAATGGAATAAAAAAGGCAAGATTAGTTGCAAAAGGGTTTCAGATAAAAGAAAATGATGAATTTGGAAACAATAACTATACACCAGTAGCAAGAACATCAACAGTGAGATTTACCCTAGCAGAAGCAGTGCAAAATTCATGGCCAATAAGACAATTAGATGTGCCAACAGCATACTTAAATGGAATATTAGAATCAGAAATATACTTGAGACCACCGGAAGGAGTAGAAGTTAGTGATGGAAATGTTTTAAAGCTGAATAGAGGATTATACGGACTGAGAGAAAGTGGAAAATGTTGGAACAAAAGATTAAATATTTATCTTGAAGAAAAAGGGTTTGAAAGATCGAGAAATGATTTTTGTTTGTATAAAAATACCATGAAAAACATTTGGCTAGTACTCTATATAGATGACATATTAATTACCGATGACAAAAATAATTTGTTAGAAACTATAAGAAATTTGAAACAGGAGTTTAAGGCAAAGGATATGGGTGAAGTTGAATTATTCTTAGGGATGGAAATAACAAGGACAATCGACACATTAAAAATCACACAGACTAGACAGATAGATAAAATGCTTAAAAAATTTGGAATGGAACATTGCAATGCTACAGAAACACCCATGACAAAAGGCTATCAAGTAAATAAAGATGATGAAATCATACAGGACATACCTTTTAGGCAATTGATTGGAGGACTTATGTTCATATCTACAACTTCCCGACCTGATATATCTTATGCAACATCTTTTCTATCGCAATATTTAGACAAACCCACTAAAGACTTATGGATACAAGGAAAAAGAATACTACGTTATTTAAAAGGTACTAGGACACATGGACTAATATATTATAAAAATAATGATAGATGTATTGAAACATATTCAGACGCAGACTGGGCTGGAAATAAAGATGACAGGAAGAGTGTAAGTGGATCAGTAACAATGTATAATAGAAACATTATATTATGGCTATCAAGAAAACAAAATTGTGTTGCGCTATCGACAGCTAAGGCTGAATACATAGCTGCTGCAGTAAGTGTGTGTGACTTAATCAATGTGAAAGGACTGTTTATCAATTTTAATAGTGTACAAAACAGTGATGTGCAAAGTATTTTATATATGGACAATATAGGTGCTATAGAACTATCTAAATCTTATGAAAACAGTCGTGCAAAACATATTGATATTAAATTACATTTTATAAAAGACCTTCATAATAAGGGAGAATTTGAAATAAAATATGTACCATCAAAAGATAATTATGCGGATTTATTAACTAAAAGTTTAACAAAGGAACATTTCATATATTTGCGTTCAGCACTAAGCATAAACTAAATTCTATTTGTTAGATTGAGTTATTACAATAATAGTAATGTAATATATATTTTAACTAGAAGTAATTTTGTTGTATAACTTGATTTAGATTTAAAATTGAGATATTATGTATGTGTGTACTAATAATAATATATTATTATTTACTTGTTCATAAGTACTGTTTAAAATTTTTGTTTTAACTTAGATATTGTTTGTATAACTTGTGGCACAATGATCTACTTTAATGTTGTAATTATTTAATAATTTAGAATAAGTTTGTTGCGATTTTCACTAATTTCATTACATAAAATTACTAAAAATCGAGGGAGAATGTTAGAATATGTAAACGTTGTTAATCTATGTATCCAAATTATTAGTCTAATCTATCTATATCTGTAAATCTAGGAATATTGTTGTACTCTGTAGTTTATGATGTAAAAAAAAAAAAAGAAGATGTCGGATTATTAGAAATACATACAGGTGTTGGTTTGAATAATGTCTTTTAATAAAAGTGAGTTGCGTAGGGGCCTAACAGCCTAAATATATCAAATTTTATATAAATTCTCACACACACATGACACTCACACACACACACACACACACACGACAGACACTCACACACACACACACACACACACTCACACACACACACACACACACACACACACGACAGACACTCACACACACACACACACACACACTCACACACACACACACACACGACAGACACAAACACACATGACACACACACATGAGACACACACATGACACACACACATGAGACACACACATGACACACACATGACACACACACACATGACACCCACATGACACACACACACACATGACACACACACATGACACACACACATGATACACACACATGACACACACACACACATGACACACACACACACACATGACACACACACACATGACACACACACACATGACACACACACACACATGACACACACACATGACACACACACACACACACATGACACACACACATGACACACACACACACACGACACACACACACACACACACACGACACACACACACGACACACACACACACGCATGACACACACACACATGACACACACACACATGACACACACACATGACACCCACATGACACACACACACACACATGACACACACACACACATGACACACACACATGACACACACACACACACATGGCACACATGACACACACACACGACAGACACAACAGACACAAACACACATGACACACACACACATGACACACACACACACATGACACACACACACACATGACACACACACACACATGACACTCACACACACATGACACCCACATGACACACACACACACACACACATGACACACACACATGACACACACACACACACATGACACACACACACACACACACACACACACACACACACACATGACACACACACATGACATACACACACACACGACACACACACACACGACACACACACACATGACACACACACATGACACACACACACATGACACACACACACACATGGCACACATGACACACACACGACAGACACAACAGACACAAACACACACATGGCACACATGACACACACACACGACAGACACAACAGACACAAACACACATGACACACACACTCACATGACACACACACACACACACACACACACACACACACACACATGACACACACACACATGACACTCACACACACATGACACCCACATGACACACACACACACACACACACACACACATGACACACACACATTATAGGGTTCGGAGCGGGATTGTAATAAGACAACCACTAGGTTCGAATACACTGTAATAAGTCTCTCATATAATAAGATATAATAACTTAAATACTAACTTAAAGTAGGTTAATGACATCACCCTGTTATGACACCACAACAAACAATATTTTCGCAATAAAAATGATCATGCACGAAAAAACCAATTTTTGTCCCTGTTACTATTGTCTTGGACCTCAGACTGTTGTTTTGAATTATCTCTAATATTCATTTCAGCAAAGTTTATCTGATTCCGTCGCGCCTGACTACGAACCCATGCTTGGCCACGAAAACCGCTAGAACCGTGATAATTATTTTTTCCCCGAGAAGCAAAATTACGACCATTACCACAACTACTAGAACTATAACCATGACCACGATTATTTAAAATCCGAGGAGTGGGCATCCCTGTAGAATTCCCTCTAGAACCATTTTTATGAAACCCTGCTGGTTGGTTACGGTTATAAAAAGTGTTATGAAAACTAGACCTACCTCTGTTATGATGACAATTCATCATTCGCTCTTCCCTTCCGCTCGATAAGGTCTCATCCAACGCACCTTGAATAGCGTCTTTTAGCGAGCTATAGTTTCTAGCCGCTATGATCGTACTAAGACGACTATTCCGCAGGCCATCGGCAAATCTCTTTATCGCAATACGCTCGTTTATTGGCTTTAAAATTTCATAAGAGCTAGAGTTACCGTTGGCCTGAGAAACTGTCAAATCAACAAATAATTTTTCAATTTGCTTACCGAACTCTTGAATACTTGTGTTATCCTGTCGAATATATTGTAGCTGAGACTGTATCGCTGTGTCAGATTTTTTAGGCAACAATATATCTCGCATATCCTTGATTAAGTCTGAAACAGATAAATAATTAGAGCACATGCGCAGCTTGGCGCTTTCTGACAATCTAGATTTTAAAACAAACTGTATCAGTAGCTTTTTGCTATCATCATCAATCATTGACTCATACATTTCTATATTAGAAATTAACTGTTTAGTGACATTCTCATCACCCGTCATAACTGGCAACAGAGAAACTGCAGTTTTTAACTCAAACTTCTCCATGATTGTTGTACTATGATACCTACCTATGTTTTCAGAACAAAGTTGAAGTATTTTCGAATAAATCGAATTAATTGTATCGAATATTTCACAAAGCTTTTGACTGTCCGAACTTTTTATTTCCTTAGTTTCTACTTGCTTTATAATCGACTTACTTAATAACCAAAATTTATCATATAAAAATTTTGCTTCGGCCCTCTTTTTGTCTCTTACACTAGATGTAGAAGGTCATCTATGTCTAATTTCATTTGCCATAACCTAAGGATACATAATACATTTTTTTTTTAATACGGTTACATAGGTTTACACTTATATTAGAATTATTACAGATTAATACATAATTAATATGTTAAACTAGGATTACACTAACACTCAATAACCACATAATATTCTTTACGCATTTTTAAGAACCATCACGCACACACACTCACACTGGTGAATTCCCTGTAGCAGCAGACCCAGGTTCACGTCGCCGCAGCGTGCTCATAGACCTTCTCAAGTCATAAGCCTCTATCCCACGCTGGATCCATTCGCCATGGCATTTCCGATAATATCGGAACAGGATTATCGCGGCCCCAACAAAAGTTGAGCACAAATTGCGATTAGAGCATAAGATGTTGAGGTGGCATGCCACAATAATTGCTCCGTGGAGGCAGAGTTCCCAGCTCCGTTTTGAGCGATTATAATTTCTTGCTCCTTGGATTGCTGCTTGCCCATATTTTTAATTTTTGATAAAGTCTTTGCCACAAATTCACAGTCACTCTGGATGGGATTTTGCAATATAAAAACGCCATAATTATAATTATTGTCTTTAACTTTACATTTCACTTAGTGTTTATTTTATCATTGCCATATACAGCCGGACACCGGACTCGCGCACGCGCTGGCAGGGTCGCCATATAGGGTTCGGAGCGGGATTGTAATAAGACAACCACTAGGTTCGAATACACTTTAATAAGTCTCTCATATATTAAGATATAATAGCTTAAATACTAACTTAAAGTAGGTTAATGACATCACCCTGTTATGACACCACAACATGACACACACACACATGACACACACACACACACATGACACACACATGACACACACACATGACACACACACTCACACATGACACACATACATGACACACATGGCACACATACATGACACACACACACACATGACACACACACACACACACACACACATGACACACACATGACACACACACATGACACACACACACACACACACATGACACAAACACACATACATGACACACATGGCACACACACACACATGACACAAACACACACACATGACACACATACATGACACACATGGCACACACACACACATGAGACACACACATGACACACACACATGACACACACGCACACATGACACACACACACAAACATGACACACACACACAGATGACACAAACACACACACATGACACACATACATGACACACATGGCACACATGACACACATGACACTCGTGACACACATGACGCACACACACACACACACATGAGCCACACACACATGAAACACACGTCACACACACACACGACACAAACACACACGCATGACACACACACACACGACACAAACACACACGCATGACACACACTCACATGACACACACTCACATGACACACACTCACACACACACACACACACACACACACACACACACACACACACACACAAGACTCACACACTCACATGACACACACACATAAGACAAACACATGACACACACACACAAGACACACTCACACATGACACTCACACACACATGATACTCACACACACATGACACACACACACACACACATGACACACACACACACACATGACACACACAAACATGACACACACACACACACACATTACACACATACATGACACACACACATGACACACACACAACACAAACACACACACATGTCACACATACATGACACTCATAGCACACATGACACACATGACAGACACACACATGACAGACACACACACACGACAGACACTCACACTCACACACACACACACACCACACACACACACACACGACAGACACACACACACATGACACACACATGACACACACATGACACACACAAACACACATGACGCA